TTTTAAAAAATAGACTAAATGGTTTTACTGGAGCTGATCATCATCGATATTCACTTTTGTTGATTTTCCCTGTCATTTCATTGCTGCATTAGAGTTGTAGATAAATGCCCAGGCATGGAGGAAGATATGACCTCCTCCATACCTGGGCCTATGATTGCCTTGAATGGGCAGAATCTCAATATTATTGTAATTAACAATTGATTACTATTTGTCTATTCTTGCCATAGCTGGGGAAAGAGTTTCCTTTCTAGTTAATTCCTTTTTAACAACCAAATTTTGAACTAAAATTGATTTTAAAATTGTAAATGTTTGCTCGAGCAAAATGACAGGCCCGTTTCTTTGTGAAGAATTTTGTAGCAGATAATGTTCGCAATGAAGATAAAATTCATTCTTTCATAATTCATTGTCTGGTAGTGTTCACGCGCTTTTCAGTGTTATTAACATTTAGAAAATGTCATGTCAAAAAATGTAAAGCCAGTCTGTCATGTACTCACATGCAGAGTTAGAATATATTTTGGTACCTCATATCTTCTTTGCACAGCTCAGACAGCCGCTTTGCAGGTGATGCAGGTCACCATTTTCTAGGAGGAAGTTATTTGTGTCGATTAATGGACTTTGCTATTCAAAACTGAAATTGGAATTGTGTATCGTTGCTTGCAAGTAAAATCACCTTGCTAGCTTCTTTCACCAGGTTTGAAATATCAAAACTCTTATTCCTGTTTAGCTGTATCAATCAGTGGACTGTGCAGAGAATAGTAACACAGAAAACCTGTACCTTTGTGGGAGAGGTAAATACACAAAATGTTGCTAACATGTGCCATTTAAATCTGAGAGAAGCTGGAGATTCAACCCGCCAGTGCCCACTTAATGCAGATATAGCAATTTTGGACCATGGTGGCCTTGAAATGAGAAATGAGAATATTATGAATTTTGTCAAATTTGATTGTGGTTTTTTTTATAGTTTAAAAAGTTTAAAACTGATAGTCTACAAAGCCAATACAAACTACCCAGCGCAGAAATTTTTCGGTACCTCCAAATAAAATATTTTTACTTGTCCTTACTTCCCTCTGGTGTAGATTTTAGTACTATGTCTAAGTATGAATGTTTATGTAAATCAGATCCACATGCTAAGGGAGTAACCTCTCAATTATATTGGGCTTTGCTGTCCACCCTTCAATACCCCCCTCCACTATATGTTGCCAAATGGATGCGGAACCTAGACCTGGACATAACACCTGAAGATTGGTAAGAGATCTGGCAGGCGACCCATAAGGTCTCCCAAAATGTAGCAGCATTGGAGGCATCCTATAAAGTACTGTTGAGATGGTATCTGTACCACAATAGATAGCAAAATATGTTGCAGGTTACCCATCCACCTGTGTTGCATTGAGCCTGGCACATACATACATGGTGGACTTGTCCTCTAGTATGTTCCTTTTGTGATCAAATCTTTTCAATTCTATCCCGCCTATTCCAAATGCCAACACCACCTGACTCCAAGATAGCTAAACATTACACCCTTTTAGCTGACTCTGAACCAGTCACACCTCCTCTTTTATGTCATGACTGCTGCAATTGCCAGATTGTGGAAGTCATCGGCTCTCTGTATGATCACTAACATGAACAAAGTCACGTAGGCGATGATACATGCCAAAATTAAGGTGACCCTTCAGAACAAGGTGAGGAGGTATACTTCAGTTTTGAAGTTGATAAATATTTACCACCTGATTTTGATGCCTCACTCTTGGAGCCGTAAGTAATCCTGCATCTCTCCTGTTGGTTGGCTTTTTCAGGACTGATGTTACTGTACTCCGTGGAATCACCTACCTCTTTCCTTTTCCCCCCTTTCCTATTCTTCCCCTCCTCCTCTACCCCTCTCTAACATATACTGCGGACTCGCCCAACACTGTTTGGGTTCCTCTACTTCCCCAGGCTATGGCTGGGGTGGACCAAACGAGAGTTGCCATTTTTTCTTCTTCCTTTTCCACTGTGTTTTATCTGTTGTTGATGCCATCCATTTGCAACCTTCAATTCATCTTGCTTTGTTTACAACCCTTAGAGGGGATTTTTATGATGTTAAAGTGATTCTAAAGGTCCTTTTTTTTTTTTTTTTTTTGGTAAAATAACAAACCTGTCTATACTTATTTGCTGTGTTCAGTAGTTTTGCACAGAGAAGCCTCAATACTCTTTTCAGATCCCCCACAGGCTGTTCTGGCGCCTCCTGTCTGTTAGATGCCCCCACAGGAAGCAGCTTGCTATGGGGGCACCCATTGCTCCGTGTGTCCATTCACACATGGCGCCGAGGCTTAGCCCCAGCCCCTCTCCTCATTGGCTCACTGGCTGTGATTGACAGCAGCGGGAGCCAATGGCTCCCATTTGCTGTCTCAGCCAATGAGGAGGCAGAGACCCATGACAGCCGAGGCTGTTATTCACATCGCAGGATCAAGATGAGGCCCAGGTAAGTATTGATAGGGCTGGAGGCACTACTGCACACAGAATGCATGAAGGTAAAAATCCTTCACCCTTTACAACCACTTTAAGCAGTACATACTGTAAATTCTTATGAGACTCTCCCTGTGTGGTAAATTTTGTTTCTCTGTTCTGCTTATGCTTACCTGTTTCTGATGGCATATTTTCGACCTAATTATTTGAACAATTATTTGAAGAATAAAAAGTTTCAAATTGATGTTTCCTAGATTTTTATAATTATTTCTATGAAACATAATATTTTAGAAGTAAATGCAGGATGTACCCAGGGTGCTCATTACTATATAGGAGACGAGACAAAGAAGCCACATTGCTCTCCATGCTTATCCAAACATTATTTTAAAGATGAACATAAGATTAATTTTGATAAAATGTGGATCTTTGAAATGTTTAGATAATTAAGTGTTAGTGGAGTGCAATGCAGAATCTTTTTCTTGTCTAATTTATAGCTTTGAGTATATTGTCTTTTGAAGCATGCATTGCATCTGTATATCTTTTTTGTAATACATTGATGTAGAACAAAATAAATTGTTTACTTGGGAAAGGAGAAGCAGTGATTTAGGTATTAAATAATGAAACTTCAGTGTATGCTTGGAGACACCTTTTGATTACCTGACTAGGGCTGTGCAGAGAATATTAGAGGGAGGTTGGCTACATAGACATATCAGTCTCAGAGTATTAGCTCTTCTGAGTGCTGCAGAATATGTGCTGCAAAGGGAAATAATGTTGGGTTCAGCTTGATAGAGCTGGGGGTTCTCCCACAGTGACCACAATTAACAAGATAGCAAATTATTTATGAGTTTGGTATACGGCTCCATCTTCTGCATGGAGCCTGCGAAGTATAGATGGAAATTGTAAAATATTAATAATTTCTTTATTCTTCAAGATAGGTAAACTTTCAGACAATACATTTTTCCACTCAGTCTAGCTCCTCTATCTAATCAACCCAACCACCAATGCCCAAAATGCTTACTCACCTAAGTACTATGTCCTTACGCTCTGCCTTGCTGCTGGCTGAGGCTGTGAAAAATGAACCCTGGATTTCTATGGAGCAATCCCCGAAGTCTGAGGGCATCTGGGAGATTGAGCCTCATAGACTTTATTGTAGAACAGTATATATATGTATTTATCATGGAGGGCCACAGCTGCAATACTCAGGTTTATAAGTAGGTTGAGGGTGAGAGCTGAGTAGTTTTAATCGGGAAGGAGAGGGGTAGGCATGGCGGGTATTGTACTTTTCTGACTCTTAGGGCTCATGTACACCGCAGCTGATAAACTCACGTTTAGGAGCTATTCAGTGTTTTTTTCAGCAGCCCCTGAACTCACCCTAATGTTTTTTCCTACACATCATCATTTACAGGCAGTTGAGTTTACAGTTGTTTTTTTGAATGCAGAAAACTTGTGTTCAGCAGTAGATTTTATCAGCGTTTCAAACGCAAAACGCTTTTAAACGTGGCTAACCGCATTTATAGGTGTTTGCGTTTGAAATTTTTTTTTTAACTCTTCCATTTCCAGATGATGTCCAGAGCCTTTTTTCATCATGAAAAATACATGTAAAGTGTTTTCCCGGTACTCAAATGGACCTGGCACACCATACTTTGAGGTTTTGCATGAAAAAAAATATGTTAGACACTGCTGCAATAATTTCTGCACAGAAATGAGCTGCAACACATCCAAACACCACAAAAAAAAAGACAGCTTATCTCGACAAATGCTGCTCTCTCTGCTTCTGCTCTCTATTTCTCTAAAAATGTCTGAAATAGGTAATCTTTTTACCATTTTTTTTATTTCTTTCTTGGCATTTTGAAAGGTTTCCTAAGGTTATCTTAAACAAACGCTCATAAAAGCGCATAAACACAGTATGCAAATGCAGCTGAACAGACGTTTTTCAATCTACGTTTTCCAGCAGTCAATTTCCATCGTTCAGAAGTGTCCTGTGCAGGGGCGGACTGACCATTTGGAAACTCGGGCACTGCCCGAGGGCCCAGGGTCAGTAGGGGGCCCCATGAGATGCCCCTGGTACCTTTTTCATAGGCTATTTTGAATTTGGGCAAGGACACAGGGGCCCCATGATCCCCTATTGCCTGGGGTCCCCATGAGTTGTCAGTCTGCCCCTGGTCCTGGCTACATGGGGCCTTAGAGCTCTCTATTCTAAGACAAATGATTTGCATCAAAATAATTGTAAATGCATGAAAACTCAGTAATGATATATGGTGAAAAGAGTTCATGTACATTTCATGCATTTCCCTTGATTTCAGTGGAAAATGCATGTTCCCAAAAAGGGAATGGTGTGACTGCAGCCTTTAGGGTCCATTCTCATTCATGCAAGCAATTTATAGGCCATTATAATTTCATTTTGAAAATACACTTACATACTATATGCATACCTCCAACCTTTCTGAGATGATTAAACCACCTTTCAGCACAACAAGGTAGGCAAAGGATATACCCTGATACACACCCAGTTACAAGTATAAAAAAAAAAACGAATGCACAAAAATGATTGGTTAAACCAGGGGCGGACTGACAACTCATGGGTCCCCCGCACAATAGGGGATCATGGGGCCCCTGTGTCCTTGCCCAAACTCAAAAAAGCCTATGAAAAAGGTACCAGGGGCATCTCATGGGGCCCCCTACTGACTCCGGGCCCTCGGGCAGTGCCCGAGTTTCCAAATGGTCAGTTGGCCCCTGGGTTAAACCTACAAGTGCTATTTTTACTACCAGTTGATACAGTATTTATAGAGGCATTTGAGAATACCAAATGCCTGCAATATTTTATAAGTTGGGTTGAAAATTTAGAGGAGTATACCACTTTTGGAGGTTTAGTGTAGTACAGCACGTTTGGAAGTTTGAAATACATTTTTATGGAGGTCTATATGTCAGAATAAAAAGAAGGACCACGGGGGAGACAAGAGGGACATGGAAATTTTGGTTCTAAAAAAGGGGCACCCTCCAAAGGAAATACATGGATAGTACTTCTACTTAAGATGCATTTTTTTTTAAATGGGAAAGTGTTTATTAATATTGAAATTGGTATAAAGTAATAACAGCAATGCTGATAAAATCATGCACCTATGTTCAGTCAAAAGGAATAGATAAGATGAGGTCTCTGCAATACATTGTACACAGAAGGAATGTATTACATAGACAATGGGTAAGTTATCACATTTTTCTTAAAGCAAATTAAATGAAAAAACTAATCAGACTGTACAACTGAAATGCATTGTCATGTGTATTACAGCAGAAAAAGGGACTATTGTGAATAGGCCCGTAATGTATTAGGCCTGAAAATAATTAAAGTAGTATTGTACCTTCAGCGCTTTTTAGCATTCAGCACCATAAAATAAAATTTCACAGTAAAATATTTGTCTACATTTTTACTCCAGCACTTGCAGCTCACAACCTGCTGCTGGCTCCTCATGTTTCGGTGCTGCTTCCCTGAACGTCTGGATGTAAACCCAACATTTCATATTCCTGATGTGCCTGCTGTACCATGTACTTGTCATATATGTCGTCTGGTGGTAACGTCTTGTTTTCACAGGAAAGTGTTAACAGTGGACAGTGCAGTCTCCAGCCAGCTTGGAGGATGGAGGAGCAGTAGAGTGCCTTGCCATCCTAGTCTATGGGGTTGTGTGTTTCTATTGGTTCACACCTAGCAAAGGTGGCTCCATAGGATGCTGAAAGAGAAAGGAGCCACCCTGAAAGGGAAAACCTGGGACAGTGGTGATGGCACCAGCTAAACAGGTACATAGGCAAGGATTAGATAAAGAAGCGTTCTATTCAGTAAATGATTAAATCAGCTGCTGAAGGTGCTTAAAAACTGAAGGTTTAATATCACTTTAAGCAATATGGTTATAAAAATGAATTCTATGAAAAAAAGGTTCCTGACAGTGTAAAGTTCTGATATCTCTGATTTAATCTTTGTCACATACACAAGCTTTTTCAGCAGGACATAACAAAGTGATGATGTGTATAATGTTGTTACTATAGTAACAATTAAAATATATTTTTAAATGATATGGCTACAGCAAAATGTAACCTTAGTGATTATTAATGAATATGTAAACCCAACATTTCATATGTGCCTGCTGTACCATGTAGTTATATGAAAAGTATCCTGTTCATTTTGTATTGCTTCCTTTGTGTGGCATCACTGGTGTTCCTGCCATACCCTTTGCTTTCCTATTAAAAACTGACAACATTAGGCATGAGAGTACAGCGTGGTCAGTTTTCTGGCTGTCCTGTATCTCTGTTTTCTGGAGTGACGAATCAAGCTTCTCTGTCTGGCTATCCGATGGACATGTCTGAGTTTGGCATTTGCCAGGAGAACAGTACTTGCCTGACTGCCTTGTGCCAGGTGTAAAGTTTGGTGGAGGGGAGATTATGGTGTGGGGTTGTTTTTCAGGGGTTGGGCTTGGCCCCTTAGTTCCAGTGAAGGGAACTTTTAAGGCGTCAGCACACCAAGACATTTTGGATAATTTCATGCTCCCAACTTTGTGGGAAGAGTTTGGGGATGGCCCCTTCTTGTTTCAACATGACTGCACACCAGTGCACAAAGCAAGATCCATAAAGACTTGGATGAGGGAGTTTGGGGTGGAGGAACTTGACTGGCCTGCACAGAGTCCTGACCTCAACCCGATAGAATACCTTTGGGATGAATTAGAGTAGAGACTGCGAGCCAGGCCTTCTCATCCGACATCAGTGCCTGACCTCACAAATGCGCTTCTGGAAGAATGATCAAACATTCCCATAGACACACTCCTAAACCTTGTGGACAGTCTTGAAGCTGTTATATCTGCAAAGGGTGGGCCAACTCAATATTGAACCCTACGGACTAAGATTGGGATGCCATTAAAGTTCCTGTGCATGTAAAGGCAGGCGTCCTAATACTTTTGGCAATATACTGTATATATATTATATACATATACTGTTTATACACATATACACAAATGTTTTGCCTTTCATTTCCATTTTAAACTGAATAGGTTGTTTTACAAGATGAGAGTTTACATGTACTTTTATATGTAATTGCTTTTGCTGGTCTTTACGCTGCCTGTAGTGGACTGGATATGTGTACATATAAAGTGCTTTCAGGAGCTATGCCTGTGTTTATCTTAAGTAAAATTCTTACACAGAAGGAACCTTTCTTGAGAAGAAAATTTAATCTTTTTTTTCCCTCCAAGTTGAAGATTTTCTGCTTATTGACATGTAGGATTATTCAATGTTCTGCCCGTGTATGATACCATAATCTCAGATTTAGTACAGTGCATCTTGCCTGGATAAGATAGAAAATCCCTTATCATTTTCTGAAATGCTGGGAGGTTTTCACATCTTGAGCTTTTCCTTTTTGATCTTTCTCCAATATATTTTTAATATTACTTTTGTTGTCATTGTTAAACAACCAAAATTGAGAAAATATAAAAGGTATATGGAAAAGGGTGAGAAGCAAAGCGAGTATCTCAAGATCAATACAGATGGAGGCTTGCAGCGAAGGTCCTGAGCTGTCCTCGGGGTGAGAATGGAAAAAGTTAGTATATGAAAAAGAATAGAAAAAGTAAAGGCAAGTCCTGTATGTGTAAGTGTGTATGTATATATTTAGAGTTAGGAGTAGAACTAAAGAAGGCAGTATGGTACTGTAAACTTTTTCACGATAAATATTTTTCCTTTGAGTAAAAGGTTGAGGTTAACTGGTCTATTCATCCTAAAATGAGTTAAACACCAATACAGTTTCTTGTATGGTGTGATAACTGTTCTTGGGCTCTTAGGTCTGCATTCCTCTTGTGGCAACAGCCTGTTATATTTGATTTTTTTTTTGTTTTGTTTTATTTTTCTTATATTAAAGGATACGTTCACCTTTTATAAAACAAAAAATAATAATACTAATAATAATAAATGCAGATCTTTTTACAGGTAAATAATTTATAATTTTTTTACACTGCTGCCTTGTGGGTGCAATACCAGGCTCCTGCAGATTCTCAGTCAGCTGTCATATAGGAGGTATGGGCAGGCTGATACTGAATGGCTGGAAGCATCAATGAGCTTTAAGAGCGCTCACCAGTGCCCTTGTCATAGTTCACTGAGAACTACAAGCCAATGGTAATTGTAGTTAGTTTGTTTGCATAACTCTGTGAATGAATAATGCATTCGTGTGGACCAAGCCCTGTGTCCAATCACAGATGATCACAATATAAACACACTCGGTGTTAATGCCAGCATAACCAGCAAGTGTGAAAAGAGACATCTACACAGAGTCCTGATTATTAATGCAGCCCCAACAGTGCCTATCATTACCAATCAGTGCCCAGCAATGCTGCCAGTCTGTGCCCATCAGTGTTGCCAGTCATTGCCCATCAGTGCTGCCTATCAGTGCCTCCTCATCAATGCCCCCCAGTGCTGCCTCATCAGTGAATCCTGTCAGTGTCCATCAGTTCAGCCTCATCAGCGCAGATAAGTAAAGGAGAAAAATTACCTGTTTGCAAAATTTTATAATAAAAACTAAAAACTTTTTTTTTCAACAGTTTCAGGATTTTTTTGTTTGTTTAGCAAAAAATAAAAACCCCAGTAGTGATTAAATGCCACCAAAAGAAAGCTCTATTTTGTGTGAAAAAATGATAAAAATGTCATATGGGTACAGTGTTGCATGACCTCGCAAGTGTCATTCAAAGTGTGACAGCACTGAAAGCTGAAAATTGGCCTGGGCAGGAAGGGTGTAAAAGTGCCCGGCAGGCAAGTGGCTGAACTGTGTGGGTTGTTTTACAAGGTGAAAGTTTAGGTTACTTTAAAGCGTTTTTGCGTTAAAAAAGCTCCTGAAAAGCTCAAGAAAAAATGCTTCCCTATGTATGTAAATGTATATCTATGTATGTTTTCACACTGAGATGTTGCGCTTGCAGTGCAGTGTAAAAAACTCCTGCTTGCCGCATCTTTGGGGCTTGTTTGATGAGTTGAAAAAAACGCCCCAAAAACACATCTTCCCATTGAAATCAATGGAAAACACCTGAAAAACGCCTCAAAAACACCTCTAAGAAGTATTTTTGGTGCAGTTTTTAAGTCACGTGTCCTTTAAAAAATTAGCACCGCGGTAAAAACACCTACGCGTTTTTGCTGTGTTTTAGCGGTGGATCAGTGTGAAAGTAGCCTTACTTTAATGACCACTTACTAGTGAGGCTGTGATGCAAGGTTTTGATATAGAACAAAGTGAGCGCTACTGATAAATTGTCACATAAGCAGCTAAAAGCACTAAAGATGATCACAACCACCTCTATTCAAGAAAAAAAAAAAAAAAAAGTGCAGCGCTAAATAATTTTATATTGTGTTATTTAGCGCTGCACTTTTTTTATTTTTCTTGAATTGTGATGCAAGGTTTTGCCTGTAGGTGTCCCTGCAAGCAGATTATGAAGTTGCTACTCCTAGACCCAACACATAGGGAAGAGAAGGAATTCCTTTGTACAGCTGCAGCAGAGGTAGGGGGAGTAGTACCAGGGACTACATTTTCTATGTCCTTGAAAAACCCCTTTGATGTTTATTTTCTATATATTGTTATGTAAACTCTTTACTCTTTAGCCCTGCATTACTTAGAATGATTGTTCTCACCTGGAGCCATTTTGATAACCCAAAGGTACAAGATTAATTTTAGCTTTGTTCACATTAGCCTTCAGCTTGCACAAGTTTAATAATCCTCCAATTTTCATTGCTTCGAGCTGAAAATTAG